TTAGTATCATGGCTGCCGAGCGTTGGACTAATTGGAGCTTCCGGGCCGTCTTCAAAGGCAACCCCACGTATTTTTAATCCCACGCGATTTTAATCAGACGAGCAGCCGATGGAAAAGGCCGCTCTGGAGCAGTTAAAGATGGCAGAAGGGTCTCTCGCTGCTGTTGGAGGAGGGTACCTGGTAGGGAGGCAGGCTCCCACACAGAGGCTGGTAGAATGGCAGTTAACGGCGGGTGAGTCTCTCAGTGACTGTTAAGAGAATACCTGGTTAGTAGACTGGCTCCCTCCTGCCTAGTGACCTTTGGAATGGGAGTTAAAGATGGCAATCTGGGTTAGTAGAGGCCTAGGACACAACGGAGCCATGGCTGCAAGGTCTATCCAACAGTGGAGTTCTCTGCTTGTATTTTCTATTTGAAACACAACAAGATGAGTCCACAGCAGACAAGATCACTTTGCTGGCTGTTGTATTGGATCACACCTCGGACACTTCCCAAGTGTCTAGGACTGTGTGATGTATTGGTGAATAATGCGTGCAGGTTCCCGTAAGGTGGCTTTCTACAACTGGCAGATGGTAATTTTGTCAGTGCCAATTGTGTTTAAGTGCAGGCCAAGGTCTTTAGGCACTGCACACAGTGTGCCGATCACCACTGGGACTACCTTTACTGGCTGGTGCCACAGTCTTTGCAGTTCGATCTTTAGATCCTCATATTGTGTCAGCGTTTCCAGTTGTTTCTCTTCAATCCTGCTGCCACCTGGGATTGTAATTATTAGGTTCTTGTGGGTTTTTTTGGGCTATAGGGCCATGTTCTAGAGGCATTTCTCCTGACGTTTCGCCTGCATCTATGGCAAGCATCCTGAGGTACTGAGGTCTGTTCCAAAAAACCCCACAAGAACAGGGGTCCTCAAACTAAGGCCCAGGGGCCGAATGTGGCCCTCCAAGGTCATTTACCTGGCCCTCGCTCAGGGTCAAACTAAGTCTGAAATGACTTGAAAGCACACAATAACAACAACAACAACAACCCTATGTCATCAGCCAAAAGACCCATACTTTCCATTGAAATACTAATAATTTTATATTTGTTGAAATTGTTCTTCATTTTAATTATTGTATTGTTTTAAGTGTTTTTTGCACTACAGATATGATATGTACAGTGTGCATAGGAATTCTTTCATATATTTTTTCAAATTATAATCCGGCCCTCCAACAGTTTGAGGGTCTGTGACCTGGCCCTCTGTTTGAAAAGTTTGAGGACCCCTGCACAAGAACCTAGTGATTCCAGCCATGAAAGCCTTCGACAATACATTGTAATTATCATCATCATCATCATCATCATCATCATCATCATCATCATCATTATATTTATACGTTACTGTATCTCTCCGTAAGAAATGGAGACTCTGAAGCAGGCTTGGGCCAAATTGGGCCCGCCCTTCAGGAGTTTTGGACGTTAATTCCCACAATAGACCACACCTGGAATATTGTGTCCAATTCTGGGCACCACAATTCAAGAGAGATACTGACAAGCTGGAATGTGTCCAGAGGAGAGCTACTAAAATGATCAAGGGTCTGGAGAACAAGCCCTACGAAGAGCGGCTTAAGGAGCTGGGCATGTTTAGCCTGAAGAAGAGAAGGCTGAGAGGAGATATGATAGCCATGTATAAATATGTGAGAGGAAGCCACAGAGAGGAGGGAGCAAGCTTGTTTTCTGCTTCCCTGGAGACTAGGACGCAATGGAACAATGGCTTCAAACTACAAGAGAGGAGATTCCATCTGAACACGAGGAAGAACTTCCCGACTGTGAGAGCCGTTCAGCAGTGGAACTCTCTGCCCCGGAGTGTGGTGGAGGCTCCTTCTTTGGAAGCTTTTAAACAGAAGCTGGATGGCCATCTGTCAGGGGTGATTTAAATGCAATATTCCTGCTTCTTGGCAGAATGGGGTTGGACTGGATGGCCCATGAGGTCTCTTCCAACTCTAGGATTCTATGAATTCCTAACAGCCAGTAGTTGAAGTCGAAAACTCCTGGAGGGCGGGCCCAAGTTGGCCCAGGCCTGCTGGAGCTTGCTGGGCCTGAACTGGAGCTTGAAAGGGCTGCTTCAGTCACAGGGAGGGAGAGAAAGGGGAGGGCCCAGCAGCGCCTTCGTCGTACTCTCCTCCCCAAAAACATTCCCTCTTCGCGCTCAGGAAAGGCGTGGAGGCCGGGGATGGCGGCGGATGGCTGCTAGGCCCGTTGCCATGGAGACTGAGCAGTACTGCAGGGCCCAAGCGAGGCCTTCTTTGCCTTGGAAGGAGAGGAGCAGGGAAGGAAAGAAGGAAGGAAGGAAGGCCCAGCGGGGGCTCAGGAGGAAGGCTGGGTGGGTCAGAGGCATTACTGTGATTTATTATTATTGTTGTGTTCTCCAGGCCTAGTAGCCGTGTTAAAGATGTGGAAGGAAGGGGGAATGAGCAGGAAAGGGAAGGATTTCCGTTTTGAAAAATCCTCCCCACTCCTGGCACTACACACAGCTTTTATTGACAGAAGAAATGAGAAACTCTTAACTCTTTTTTGGACATTAAATTGATTTTTTAAAAATTCAAGAGCACAATATCTTTGAATGGTTTTCCACTGTGAATATATTAAATACTGTTTATATGTGTTTGTTTATTTATTTCATTTTTGCATTTTATTTCATTTTCACACTTTTCTACCATAACCATAGGACAAAAGGCCAAGGAAAATATAATAAACTAGCTGTCCCCTGCCACGCGTTGCTGTGGCCCAGTCTGTTGATCTGGAAAATAATGAGAAAGTGTTGTTCTAATATATGTAATTTCTTTATGCTTGTGTGTAAACAGTATTTCTTGCTGTTTCTTTGTCAGTGTTGATGTGGAGAGTGTCTGGTTTGCCCACCCTGGAACATTCAAGATATCATTGTCCATCTTTAAGGGTCCCTTTCAAATCTATGATACTTGTTTTTCAGGAGGGCTTTGATTATGTTTTCTTTCCCTGCTGAAGGGAGCTGGACTGGATGGCCTTAAGTATTTTCTGATAGTCATGGGAGTTCTGTTTGGGAAGTTTGCCCCAATTCCGTTGTTGGTGGGGTTCAGAATGCTCTGATTGTGGGTGAACTATTTTATTTATTTACTAGCTTGAGGACCCGGCGTTGCCCGGGTTATTAGAGAACGTGGGTAATGGCGGTTCTGTATGCCAAGTTTGGTCTTTATT